AGAGCCCCATGCTGGTGACCACAACTGGGGGCCATCCCACCAATCTGCGAGTTGCGCTAGCTTCCATTCTGCCAATTTAGTCTCCCGTATAAGACAAATATCTAGTTGCTTCTCTCCTATCCACTGCTTTAACCGCTTACCTTTATGCTTCCCCCCTGTGTCCCCAAGACCCTGTACGTTCCACGTACCTACTCTAAACCTCCCCATCCCTGGTGCTCATGACTGCGTTCCCATCTTGGATTCGTCGATCTTCAGTCTGCTCCCCTCTCTCTCTGGCTTGGGACGGATTTGTGTCCTGCCAGATTTCTGCTAAGACACCATGAATAAAGTCTGACTCCAGGTTCCTGTCCAGTGGCAGGTGTTCATTAAGGGCTCTCAAGAATGAGGCCGCTATCCCTGGCTCCACCAAGACGCTCCCCAGCTCTCCTCCCGTATCTACCAATAGCAATCGGAGTGGGACACAAGTCAACCCTATCGAGGGGAGGCCTGCCCAATGGGCCATTGGGATTCTCGCATCGATGAACGGTATGTAGAATTTGATCTTATTCCCGGCTGCGGTGTCTATTGAAAGCTTCGGAATCAGGGCTTCAGGAAAAATACGAAAACAGAATCTGTCTGCGTATGTTTGCCTAACCCTTCCTTCAATGAGCTCCGGGGTTGGGACGCCGCAGAATGGCGTGGAAGGGATGATTGTCCTGCCCTTCCGATTTAGCAGTCCAAGGATGTACGGTTCTTGCCCTAGCAATGTGCATACTAGAGGCAACAACAACTTCTCCTCGTGTTGTTCTCCCACTGCTCTCGAGCTTACTCCACTTGTTCTTGGAGTATGAACTCCCTCTGGATCTGGCCTTACAGCCGGCGATGCTCCGGTGCCCTCAAGAGTTGAGCTTCCCGTCGGCTCGTCACTCCTCGATCCTCCACTCTGCTCTCTCCCTGAATCGTCCACCACCACCACCACCCTTTCTACATTTCCTGGAAGTTGTCTATTAAGTTTGGGTCTTGAGAACGCGGACGGCCCTTGCGCTTGGCTCCAATGACCTCCTGGTGATGCGTAAGCTGCAGCACCTTGCAGACCACATACTGCTGGATTTGACCAGACGCTTTGGTTCTGACCCCCGCTGAGTGTACTCTGCCACATCGGATGCTGAAGGATGGCCGACAGGTACGGGTCTGGCGCTCCTGGAATCGACGCCCATGAGCCTGTTCTTATATCTGCCAGCGCCGACTGAGTGAATGCACCCACCGGGTATACTTCTCTTAAACCATTCTGCTCTGGTGCCGGTGGCAACGCCCTCCCCGGGGACTGAGCAGGTCCTCAGATGTCTGGGTAGCTATGATGATGGATTCCTTTCTTAACAAAAGGTCAAGTCCAGATTCTGGTCCAATGTGGTGGCGGCATGGAGAAAAGTGAAACCAGATATCAGATCCCAGCCTCAAACAAAAGTGGAAGTATTGAATCAACCACTTTTTGAGAACTACCTAATCTGTGACCACGAAGGGAAGCGTTTCTCAGCGGCTTCAAGTGCTGGCAATTTCGGGCAAAAGTGGGTGCAAAGGGGGGTGGCCGTGATAGGTGATGTGTGGGACACAGTCACCAACCAGTGGCACTCACCTGCGTTTCTTCGGTCTGAATTGGGTCAATTGCCACTCCAAGAAGAAAGAAGAGAGAGCCTCATTAAGGCTATACCAGCAGAATGGAGGAGGCTGTTGGGACCTGAAGGAATTAACCCCCCAGGCACGTGGCTGAAGACAGTAACAAACCAAGAGAACCCAGTTTTCGTCTTATTGAAGAGGTGGCACGAGGATGAGAGTGGTAGACGCACGGTAGAAGAGTACAGTAGGGCTCAAGACCATAATGATAAACTAGCTCTGCATAGAACCACCACCAGGCTGGGATTGGGAGACTTGGAAGAAATTCGGGTGAGGGCAGTGAAAATGCAAGGGAGAGGGGAACCGACAGTCTACAAATTGGTTGCAGGAGGGGTGACCAAGAGGAAGATGCGAATCGATCCCTTAATGTGGGGCTGGAAGGTAGGAAGCGACACAGTCTATGACCTCACTCAACTGTCAACTTCGCTTCTCAGAGCAAGACTAAAGCCTAAAGAGGTGCTATACTCCACACTAATTGAGAGGTGGGAGCGTGCCCAACTAGCATTGCAGCCACCCACAGAGAGAAAACTGACAAGACTTTCGGATCAGCTGAGCTACCTGCCATCTCAAAAATTCGCATCTTTATTGTGGCTACAGACGCACGTTGCGGTACCCACCGCTCGCTGGCTGGAAAGAAGAGGTCTGAACGTCAATCTGGAATGCGATCGATGCAAATGGCCTTTTGAGACAATGACCCACCTCTGGTGGGACTGTCCAAGATCGCAGAAGTGGTGGAACTGGTGGTTCCAGCACTGGACAAAGATGTCTGGAGATACATCATGCAGGGGAAGGGATTGGGTTATACATGGTTTCCTGCCAGAACACATACCAATCAGAAAAGGGTGGGGATATATAGCCCAGGTGGGGAGAGCCATCATGATGTGGCTGATTTGGTTGGATAGAAATGGAAGGCGTTTCCAGAATCAAGAATTGGACGAAGTACTTGCAGAGAAGACGTTCAAATTGCTCCTGAAAACAGAAATCAGGGCAGACTGGAGAAGGAAGGTTCTGACAGGTAATAGGAGAGGGGGAGAAGTCTGGTTTCGAGAGACATGGGCAGTACCTGGTGGACTGGCTTCAATCAGAGAGGACAGACTAGTATTATCACAATGGTTGGATAGGCAATAGACAGTAGGAGCCAGGTAGAGTAGATAATGAACCAGGCGCACTCTGTTCCGGTTGGCAGACACAGTAGTCTGCAAACGGGTTGGGTAGGGAGGGAGAGTGTCATAAGATAACGAGGAACACAGTTCCCCCGGTCGTACTGGGCTGGGTTCAGACCGTGTTAGGTCTGTGAAGGTAAATAGGAATCTCTAGATTAGAAGGGGTATTATTATGGTTAGGAATAGCCATAGAGATAGGATAGGCTCGTTTGCTATTGTTCAGGAGGTTTATTTCTTGTTTTCAAGCGAAACTGGCTAAGGCTGCCAGAAGTTACTCCCAGGTGGAATTGTGGGGACCCCGGCCCCGTTTCGAACATGTCTTCGTGAAATGAAAGTGCTAACTTGGTTTAAAAAAAAATAAAATAAATAAAAATAAAAAAATATTAAAAAAAATAAAACAGTCCTAACAGCGACAGCCGGTTCAATTTGGACAGAAAGCTACTCTACTGGCACTCCCTCCGCAGTCAACCAGCCGCCTTCCTTCCACCCTTCCAGCTGAATATGCACTGGGAATCTTACACATTTGGGCCTCGTGCAGCGAGGCCCATTATGCCGGTATCCAGGGGCCAAGTCCCACTAGCTTCGATTCTTCATTTATGGCCGTTGATCTTTGTGATCTAGGGTCTGAACTCGAGAATACAGGGAAGTGGGACTTGGGCCCAGAACTATAGACAATGGCCCCAGAAAGAATGAGCCAGGGGTGAGGTCTTTTACCAGGGAAGTTTCACGCCAGATATAGAAATATGACGGCCCCATGTTCTATTCGGGGGAAGATGGTAGTCTATTGCGAACAAACTGTTGGAAAAGGGTACCGAGGTAACCGAGCAGCAAAAGCGTCGCTCTGGAACTGGATTCCCGAGTGTTTTCACATCTGAGTGCTGCCAGCGGGCCGGTTGAGTGCTGCTCCCGGACCGGACTTCGAGAGCTCCAACAGGAAACCAGACATTGCACCATCCCCTCAGCGCGGCCATCACTGGTTTCCCGCTGTTCGCTTTCCCGCCTTGTGTGCGTGCGTAGATGACGTCCCTGGTCCGCACGCTGATCGCAAAGCGAGATCGGCCCGCTCACGTCCCTGGTCCGCACGAAATCGCTGGCGAGATCGCCATGCGCCCCGGAGCCCCTACGATGGCCTCACCCGTATCTATCGACAACAAGGAGCGCCTAACCTAACCTAACCTGACTAACCTAACCTGAGTATAGTTCCAGTTTACTCGCCCTCTCCAGGCCTGGATTGGGCGAACCCTCGTCGTTGGGGAGGAGGGTACGCCACCGTTCGTTCTTCTCCTTATAGAACGGACGAAACTTCGATTTGGGTTCCCGCTGGCCGGGGGAAGGCGAGCGAAGGCGAGCGAAGGCGCAAGCAAAGGGGCGCGACCGATTGCCGTCGTTTTTTTTTCGGGTCAAGCATGGTGACTACCCGTCACCGCCTGTCTGCACTGCTGCGGCGGGGATCGTGTCGAACGCCGGTGGAGCTGTGGCGGAAATTACAGGACCGCTTGCTCCCCGGGATCTCGCCTGACGCGCGCTGGCGCGCTGACTGGTTGACTAGTTGTGAATTGGGGCCGAACGAGGTGGCGGCAGTCGTGGCAGGTCGGGTGGGGGTTGATGGGTTGGTCAATACGGCAGCTATACTATAGTGAGGGCAAGCATAAGCAGGTGTTGGAAGAGGAATAAGCAGCAGCGGAGGGGCGAATAATGCGGCAGAGAAGAGCGGAGGCCATTGAGGTAACACATCCTCAGTCCATAATCATGTCAGCGGTGAGGTGTTGGGTGGGTCACAAAGGGGGGTCATCTCGAAGCATGGGGGGGAGGAAGTGATCGAATGTGGCGGGCGGCTCCACCGGAATTGGTCTCACCTCCGCTGCGGAGGCTGCGTGCGGAAGCAATCGAGGCACGGAGTAGGGAGGAGAGAGGAGACAGGAGAAAGGAGGGACGACGTGCGTTGGAGATGCTTGTTCTGGCATAGGGAAAACCACAAGAGCATAGATGCACGTGATACCATCGTAGGGGTGGGCATCTTACCTGTCTCCCCCTTCTTTTGTTGCCTTCGTGGGGCAGAGCAGGTAAACCTTGACTGGCATGGGGAGGGGAGGGGAGTGACGAAGATCGAATGATGATGCTGACATAGTGTCCTCTCTACGGTTAGGAATGGGGCATTTGAGAAGGAGAGCTTACGAGACAGATCGGGTAAGGTAGTTGCCATTCAATGTTTCTCTCCTCGCATTCCATTGCGGTGAGAAGTAATGTCAGAAGAGTAGGCCTAGGGCCGATGTTGTACCCTGCATGAGGTGGCAACCCCCCGCCCTAATTGGTGGAAAGAGTGAGCACACGCGGGTCACATTGCAGATTTACACCGCCACACACTCCATCGTCATCACCCATCATCATCATTATCATCATCACCCATCATCATTATTATCATCATCATCACCCGTCATCATTATTATCATCATCACCCATCATCATTATTATCAGCACCACCCATCATCATTATTATCATCATCACCCATCATCATCGCCTAATATCAGCCCCATCCACCATCATCATCCTATGTCATCATCCATCATCATCCATCATCATCCATCATCCATTGTAATTATCAGCCGTCATTATCGTAATCGCTGTGTCCTGGTATAATGTCAGGAGAGGCTTAGGGAAAAAAAAACTCTCCAGACAAGGCAGCATACGCGGCGGCGGACCGGCGGAAGCTGGGGATTTGGGAGTGAGGTAAGTAGTCTTCCCCTTCCTGGTGACAACGTAGGGTTGAAATTAAGTAAGCACTTAGTGTTACGTGGAACAATTGGGAGGGGGAAGGAGAGGGGGGCTAATTAATCGCTTACTGGGGGTTGCACAGCACAGACGATCAGCCGCTCATCAAGTCAAGATCAGGATGGACGCTCCAGGCTTCGACTCTGCGTCCCTTCGCGTCACGTCGTCGTCCACGAAGACAAGGGTTCACGTTTTCGAATCCAGTGTGATGGCTGCTTTGGACGATCCAGGTCTGGACATGGCAGAGAGTGCGGCGGATATCGTGACTGTGATATTTAAGACCGTGCACATCTACGAGGACCGGACGTCGCAAGCGGCGGTAGAGAGGGCCATCGAGAGGGGTCTCGCCCGGGGCCAAGCGTTCACCAAGTCCTTCGCAGGTACACTCCTCCAGATCGGCGAGAAGGCCTTGAAGGGAATGGGGGTTGGTCTCTGTCTGAAGTTGCTCCGCTGGAGTTGTTTGCTGATGAGGAGATGCCCCGAGCTCTTTGGCGCGAAGACGGGATTCGCTCGGATCGCCGCACTGCAGGCGGCTTTTCTCACCCGTCTGTTTGAGGGAGGAGGCCCTCGAGTGAAACGGGTTGCTCGCAAGGCCTTTGCTCGGTTGCTGAGCGAGGTGGCACCGGCGTACGACCACTACGCGAACGTTCTGGATGCTGTGGACTCTTCGGGCTACGATTTCTGTGGCCTAGTCTGGGCATTGCTGGAGTTCGCGGCGGGCAAGCCCAACCGCACGGCGCTGATGGAGAAGCACAAGGGAGTGTTTCTTGAACTCTGCACCAAACGTGTGCTTAGCTCCAGGCAGAAGCCGCCCAAGAGCGCCATGGGGTGTTTTCGGCCCCTGCTGCGCGGCTTGAGCCATGAGGAGTTTGCGACGGCGCTGCTGCCGACGGCCGTGAAAATGCTGAAGCGCAATCCGGAGGTAGTGATGGAGGCGGTTGGGCAGATGGTGGCTGACGTCAGCCTGGACATGAGCAAGTACATGGGCGATTTCCTGCCCACCCTGTTCCAGCAAGCGCGGCACAACGACGAGGGGACACGGAGAAGTGCGCTGGCGGTGGTGAAGAACCTGGTCTTGCAGAGCAGCGACCTCGATTCCGTCTCGACGACCGTCGACGCAGCCAGATCTATTTTTAGTGGGAGTGAAGGCAAGCTCACGGTTTGGCATCAACGAGCAGGAATGATCGGAGTAATCAGCACAGTATCGGAGGTGAAAGGCAGCGTAAAGGCGGTGGCGGCTCTGAGCGCGGGAGTGTGCTCCTTCCTCGTGAAAGCGTACACGGAGGAAGTGAACGAGGACGTGAAATTGGCCGCGCTGGCGGCACTCGGCGAGTGGCTGCCCAGGGCAGGCCCCGACGTGCCAAAGGAGGTGACCAGCTTCTTTGCACAGGGATTGAAGGAGAAAGAATCTCTCCGCAGAGCGCATTTGCGTTGCCTGAGAGCCGCTTTCAGGAACGGTGACCTGCGGACGAAGGTTTCGCAGAGCCTGGTCGATGCGCTCATCGGGCTGGTGAAGGCCGGGGCGCAGAAGCCTCTTCAGCGCGTGGATGGCGTGTACGCCCTGCTGCTGGTCTCGTTGATCGGCGCGGTGGACACCGCGGCGGAGGACAAGCTGGTCAAGGAGAAAGTGTGGCCCGTCGTCCTGCAGAAGGATTCTCCTCTCCTCTCCTCGGCTGTGGTGGGCAAACTCTCGGCCGAGGATTGTGTCGCCCTCGCGGAACTCGCCGAGGTGATCCTCCTGCAGTTTTCCCCGAGGCTAGACCAGAACCCTGACGGAGCGAGGGACCTGTTTCAGCTTCTGGTTTTCCTGATGACTTATCCATTGTCGTGGGACGTGAGGCGGACGGCGATCGCAGCAGCGAACAGGTGCCACACAGCGTCGGCAGGGCTCTCGGAATCCTTGCTGGATGCGTACTGCGCGTGGCTTGCTGTCTGGGAGGAGAGGATGGCGGCGCAGTCCTGTGCCGGCGGGTTTGATTCCGGAGCCGAAGCGGGCGGCGGCGGCGGCGGCGGCGGCGGAGACAGCGCTGCTATCATCCCGGCGGGAGAGATACTGACGAAGGCCCTGGCGGCCATCGCCTCACCCGCCACGGCCAGCAAACCAGGCGTAGCTGCGAGGCTTCTCCTCTGTGCGCACCACCAAGTGGTCGTGCGGGGCAAGCGGAAGGGCGTCGCATGGGCGGTGGTGGAGAGATCTCTGACCAAGAGAGGCGTCAGCGTCAGGTCTGTGCTAGTGTCCAGCGCGTCTGTAGTTTGCAAGATCTTGCTTGGCCCTGCTGGCCTCACGAGTGGCGGCAGGGGAGGGAAACCTCAGGAGCAAGCTGCATTGGCCGCTCTGGGCACGGCCATGAAGTTTTTCCCCGCCCAGATTTATCCGCACCTTCTGCAGGCTCTGGATGCCATGGGCGATAGATCCGCCCACGACTCTCTGACGGAGAGAGAGGTGAAGATTTTCAGGACCCCAGAGGGAGTGTTGTCGACCGAAGACGGCGTTTACGTAGCGGAGGTCGTGAGGGATCGCAACGTCAGGCACGCACGAGGGCGTTTCAAGCTGTACGACGATGCTACGGAGAACGACCCGCCGCCTCCGCCTCCTCCCAAGGAAGTGCCAAGGGAAAGGCCGTCGCAGAAGTCCCTGTCGTCGTCGACGAAACGCACCGCTGGCGGAGGGGGAGCCAAAAAGGCGGTCGATTCCGGAAAGACGGCCAAGGAGGAGGCGCGGGAAGCGCAGCTGGCGGAGGAGGCTGCGGTTCGCCAGCGTATCGCCGCGATCAAGGATCGCTTGGCGCTTGTGCTGCAAGCTCTCGCCGTATCTGCTGTGTCTTGTCCTCGGTTCAGCCACGACCAACTTCCTGCTTTGGCAGATCGCATTCTCCCTTTGTTGAAGTCTCCGATCGTCAGCGATGAAGCCTTCGATGCCCTGAAATTGACCGCAACTTGCGTCGCACCCCGACTGAGAGATCATAGTCTGGACGTCGCGGCGGCTCTCCGGCTCGTTGTCGTTTCCCCCGACTCCGTCCTCAGGGACTTGAAAGGTTCCGCGGATCAGCAGCAGCCCGCCAGGAAGACGAAACTGCAGGAGAAGCCGGTTGTCGAACGCGTCACGATCGGCCTGTCGGCCGCGTGTCAAGATGGACCCGTGCCCGTCGCGACCTTCGTTTTCTCTTTCCCAGTGATCGAGCACGTTCTGCTGGCTCCCGCCAAGACGAAGCTGCATGACGATTTGTTGCAGGTCTTGTCGTTGCATGCGTCTCCTGGGGACAACCTGCCCCGGCAGCGCATGATAAGGGTGCTCTACCATGCGCTAGGGTGTGTGCCGCTGTACCAGGAACGGATAAGGCACATTCTCCGCGAGCTGGCGAAGGGACTGGGCGACGAGCAGGTCTCGGATGCTCTGGACGGCCTGTACTCGAGCCATAGCCATGTCCGGGCGGCGTGCCTGGACTCGTTGGAGTTCATACCGGCTCTCGAGAGTGGACGTGCGCCGCCGAACTCGGCGGTGGCGTCGGCTCTGTGGATGGCCATGCACGACCCCGATGAGCAAAATACGCAAGCGGGAGAGGATATCTGGGACATGTACGGGCATTCCCTGGGGACGGACTATGCGCAGGGCCTCACCAAAGCGCTCTCGCATCCCAACCTGAATGTTCGTCAGGCGGCCGCCGGGGGGCTCGCTGCGGCCATGGAAACTTACCCCGCAACGGTCGCAGAGACGCTGTCCGCACTTTTCTCGCTGTACATACGCGATGTTCCGGTAGGGAGGGGGGATCACGATCCTTCGTGGGAAGGGAGAGAAGGGGTGGCCCTCGCTCTGAAAGCCTGCGCCAAAGAGCTCACCACGAGAGACCTTCCCGCCGTGGCAACCTTCCTGATCTCCAGAGCCCTGGCCGATCTGAACAGCGACGTGAGGTACAGAATGGTGGATGCCGGGGTCACCATCATTGACGTTCACGGGAAGACCAACGTCGGCCTTCTCCTTCCCATCTTTGAGAACTACCTCGACAAGAAGGCAGCGGACGAGGAGAGGTACGATCTGGTCAGGGAAGGAGTCGTGGTGTTCATGGGCGCTCTCGCCAAGCACATGTCGCCGGAGGATCCGAAGATCGGAGCCATCGTCGAAAGGATGCTGGAAGTTCTCAACACCCCATCTGAGTCGGTGCAGCGTGCGGTGTCCAACTGTTTGCCTCCTCTCATGCACTCCCCGCAGGCCAAACCTGAAGAGCTGATCGGGAGGCTGATCAAACGGTTGTTGGAAGCAGACCGGTATGGTGAGAGAAGAGGAGCGGCCTTCGGCCTTGCAGGTGCTGTTAAGGGGCTCGGGATCTCCTCCCTCAAAGCATACGGAATAATGGACAAGCTGAAGACCGGTGTCGAGGATAAGGCTTCGGCAAAGTCCCGAGAAGGAGCTCTGTTTGCGTTCGAATGCCTCTGTGAGAAGATGGGCCGGCTCTTTGAACCGTACGTAATACACATCTTGCCACTCCTCCTGGCCTCCTTCTCAGATCCCAATGTCGCGGTGAGAGAGGCGACGGATGCTGCCGCAAGGGGCATTATGGCACAACTGAGTGGGCAGGGAGTAAAGCTGGTGCTGCCGGCTTTGATGAGGGGCTTGGAGGACAAGGCCTGGCGAACCAAGCAGGGCAGCGTTCAGTTCCTGGGGGCCATGGCCTATTGTGCCCCCAAACAACTCTCCCAGTGCCTGCCCACCATTGTTCCCAAGCTGAGCGAAGTTCTGACTGATACTCACCCCAAAGTGCAGCTGGCGGCGCAGACTGCCCTTCAGCAAGTTGGAAGCGTCATTCGCAACCCCGAGATTGCCTCGCTCGTTCCCACTTTGCTCGTCAGCATTGCGGATCCGAACAAGCATACGAAGACGTCCCTCGACCTGTTGCTTCAGACAACGTTCGTGAACTCGGTGGATCCGCCGTCCCTGGCACTTCTCGTGCCGGTCGTGCACAGAGGACTGAGGGAGCGCAGCGCAGACACCAAGAAGAAGGCAGCTCAGATCGTGGGCAGCATGTGCTTGTTGGTGACAGAGCACAAGGACATGATTCCGTACCTCGATCTGCTTCTGCCGGAGGTCAAGAAGGTGCTCGTTGACCCCATTCCAGAAGTCCGCACCGTAGCTGCAAGAGCCCTCGGGTCATTGATCCAGGGCATGGGAGAGGAAAGGTTCGTGGACCTGGTGCCGTGGTTGCTGGAAACGCTCAAATCGGACACCAGCAGCGTGGAGCGCTCCGGTGCTGCACAGGGTCTCAGCGAGGTCCTGGCTGCACTCGGACTGGAGTACTTCGAGGCGCGCTTGCCGGACATTCTGGTCAATTGTTCGCACCAGCGGGCTTCTGTCAGGGATGGGTATCTCACTCTCTTCAAGTACCTGCCAAGTGCGATTGGGCCCGAGTTCCAGGCTTACCTCAGCCAGGTACTGCCCGCCATCTTGGATGGGCTTGCAGATGAGAACGAGTCCGTACGAGATGCTGCACTCAGTGCGGGACATGTGCTCGTGGAGCACTATGCTCGCAGCTCCCTTCCCCTTCTCCTTCCGGTTGTTGAGGAGGGCATCTTTAATGACAACTGGAGGATTCGGCAGAGCTCTGTTGAGCTCCTGGGCGACCTGCTTTTCAAGGTGGCCGGAGCGTCGGGCAAGGTGCAACTGGAAGGAGGTAGTGATGACGAAGGTGCAAGCACAGAGGCACAGGGGAGGGCCATCATCGAGGTTCTTGGAAGGAACAAACGGAATGAGGTCTTGGCCGCAGTTTATATGGTTCGATCGGATGTCAGCCTGTCGGTTCGTCAGGCTGCGCTTCATGTCTGGAAGACCGTGGTCTCCAACACCCCAAGGACTCTCAAGGAAATCATGCCCGTTCTTATGCGTACACTGATCACATCCTTGGCTTCGACGTCCCCGGAGAGACGCCAGGTCGCTGGCCGAGCCCTGGGCGAGCTGGTTCGGAAGCTCGGCGACCGTGTTCTCCCATCAATTATTCCGATCCTCCGTGATGGTCTGCAGGATCAGTGTGGCAACACACGGCAGGGAGTTTGCTTTGGCCTAAGTGAAGTGATGGCAAGTGCAGGCAGGCAGCACCTCGCTGCATACATGAGCGATCTCATCCCTACCATTCGTGATGCCTTGTGTGACAGCGAGCCAGAAGTGCAAGAAGCTGCCGGTCAGGCCTTCAGCACACTTTATAAGAGTGCCGGCATGCATGCCATTGATGAGATCGTCCCTGCCTTGCTCCATGCCTTGGAAGATGAGCATCTGTCAGGACATGCTCTTGGTGGACTGAAGCAGATTCTGAGCGTCCGAACGGCAGCTGTGCTTCCCCACATATTACCAAAGCTTGTAAAGCCACCAATAACGGAGTTCAATGCGAACGCTTTAGCCGCATTGGCGGAGGTGGCAGGTGCAGGCCTTAATGCCCACCTTCCGACTGTGCTACCGCCGCTGATCATGGGGATGTCAGCCTCTGGCAATCCGGATTCTACCAGAGCTGTGAAGTATGCAGCAGAGACTGTTGTCATGGGTGTTGATGATGAAGGCTTGGATGGTCTTATCACGGAGCTCAACAAAGGATTGGGCGACTCTCAGGCTAGCGTACGGACTGGCGCTGCAGAACTGACGGGATTCTTCTTCAAGAGTACGAGGCTGGACGTGGAGTACCATGTGCCGAACCTGATCACCACGCTCATTGTCATGCTCGGCGATCCGGACAAGGGCACAGTGAAGGCCGCATGGGAAGCCCTGGGATTTGTAATTGGCACGATCCCGATTGAGGTCTTGCCATCGTACATCAAGTGTGTGCGTGACGCAATTCAGACGGCAAGGGACAAAGAGAGAAGAAAACGAAAGGGGGGGGCAATCTTGGTTCCGGGTCTCTGCTTGCCTAATGCACTTAAGCCGGTCCTTCCAATTTTCCATCAGGGTGTGATGACAGGCTCTGCGGAAATAAGGGAGCAAGCTGCGGATGGCCTGGGAGAGCTGGCTGACGTCACGCACGAGGATTCACTCAAACCATTTATTGTGAAGATAACGGGACCTCTGATTCGTATCATCGGAGACAGGTTCCCATGGCAAGTGAAGAGCGCGATCTTGGGCACATTGAGCATAATCATTGGGAAAGCTGGTGATGGTCTGAAGCCTTTCGTCCCGCCCTTGCAGACCTCTTTTGTCAAGTGCCTGCAAGACGGTGCCAGACCTGTCAGGTCGCGAGCGGCAAGAGCTTTGGGAAAATTGGTCGTGCTCAGCCCAAGGGTCGATCCTCTTGTCAGTGAGCTTCTGTCGGGTGTCCATTCATCTGAAGGCGGGGTGAAGGAAGCCATGCTTGCTGCATTGAGCCGTGTACTGCTCAATGCGGGTAAGAGTGTCAGTGCACCCGTGGTTGCGAAAGTTGGTCCAGCAGTGATCAACCTGCTTGACGTGGAGGATGACGAGGTCAGAGGCCTTGCATCTCGCTGCTTGGGCATAGCTTCACCGTTTATGGCAGATTCAGGTTATGACTGGCTGCTGCAGAGCATTACCTCTGTCAATCCGTCCGAACTGTGGACGATGCGCCATGGGGCAACAATGACGCTTGCCTCTGTCCTGAGGCATTCTGCCCATCGTGTTTTTGAATCTTCGGCAAGAGTCTCATGGGTCACAGCATCCATCCGACACCGGACTAAAGATGACAGGGTTCCAGTTCGTGTGTCAGTCGCAAAGGCCATAGGACGGCTGGTTGTCTTTCAAGTTATGGAGTCACTCTCTCCTTTCTCCATATCAGAGATGGTTTCTTTGCTGGCAAACCTCATTGCAGAAAAAACCAGTGATGTAAGGCGAAGAGCCATGGCCAGTGTGAAGTCCATTGCAAAGGCAAGAGCAGATGTGCTGACGCCATACCATTCAGTGCTAGGACCGCCCGTCGGAGACTGTCTGAAAGATGGCAATTCCCCCGTCAGAGTTGCTGCAGAGCGGTGTGCGCTGCATCTGTTCCAACTACCACGGGGAACCGAGTTTGTCCAAGCGGCACAGAAATACATGACAGGGTTGGATGCTCGGCGAATCGCAAAGCTGCCCGAGGTCAGTGATGTAAGTGATGACAGCGAGGGTGATGACGCCAATGATTAGGCCTTGTGTAGTTGGTGGCTGTGGGTCAGGTGTGCCATGTCCAAAAGTGGAGTTTGAATAATGGATGAGCTGAGGCTGTTGCTACCCGATTAGGCCTAGGTGGATTTGCCCAGGGGCTGGGAAGGGCAACACGCATGTACGTTGGCAGAATCATCATTTTTTCTCGCCATGTCTGAAGGAACTGGAGGATTCGAATTTCGATCTCAGGTCTCAGTGGCGAGGCATTGATGGCCAAAGATCATACTGTTACCTACTGGTAGAAATTTCGCTGTGTGGTAGGAAGTAGGCCCTTGGTAGGACAGGGTAGTTCATAGAAAGAATAGTCTAGACTTAAGACCAGGCAGTAGTAGAGTGTTGGCTATATGCGGTTGGGAGACGAGTAGTCTGGTGGAAAAGAGGACAGCGGACTAAGGACGGAAAGATGGTTGCTGGAAGACTCTGTCAAGGACAATGGCAGAAACCAACAAGGGAACCAGCAAGGGATGTTATAACTGTGGAAGCCCACATGTTTGTCTGAACCTTTGGGATTTCGGAAAGAAGGCCTATAGGAGGGGAGTGATGAAGCCACGTTTTTGATGATTTGCTCATTTCGAGTTTTTAGACTGGAAAATCAGTGAGACATTGTGAGGTGAAGGGGGGGTGTGGCAACAGGGTAGGTGTTAGCTTGCAGTTTTCTCGGATTTAGACCAGCGAATCAATTGCCTGAGTTTACATTCAGGCCCTGGCAGAGAGGCAGAGGTGGAGGCAGTGGGTGGCCATAGAGGAAGGGTTATCGAGTGTTGTTTCTGATGTTTCAAAAACACATCTGAAAATGGTGACCGAACTACGCTTTCAGGTCCCTTTTCATGGTTTTGCTGCCAGGATTTCTTTCTGTGTGTGTCGTTTGCAATGTCTCATCTAAGTTCTCTCTCATCTGGCTTGGGTGATTAGCGCTCTGTCTCAGGCATCTGGAACCATGTGCTCTTCCCCTGCTGCTGCTGCTGCTGCTGCTGCTGCTGCTGCACACAGCTCTGGAACTGTTTTGAGCATTCACCCAGGAAGGGGCGCTCCAGTGTTAGTAGAAGTCCTCTCTACCCAAGAATGCCAATGACTTGTCACAACCCCAAACTCCTGAATGACATTTAAAAAAATGACTATATGTATATGTATTATATTCACAGGAGTAGAACAGAAGAGACGCCGCTCAGCACAACCACAGGTCGTCGTTTAGAGGAACCCCCAACAAGCATCGAACAGTGCAGGCACCCATTGAATGCTTGCCCCTGCATGCTACTTGAGAAGGCAGGTTGCTGTTGCAGGTACCCATTGAAAGAAAACTGTTACAGGCCTCTACATGGATTCTCAGAAAGCACCACAGAGGTCACTGCAGCAGTTAAACGACCAGTACACGGCCCACCTATTTTGTTCCGACACGGCGTGGCTTTCAGGGCTCGGCCTACTGGATCTGTTAACAAAAAAGAAATTGCATGCGCCGGTTGTGTTTTTTAGTGCGCAGAGCACCAGTCCGTCTCGGGAAAGAGAGGCTTGGATGTATCTGTGGTTTAATGGCATGGCTGCTGGGGAATGCACTCGCTCCTGTGTTGAGATGGGCACAGGTCATTGGAGAGGTTGAACAACCACTCTACCGGACGTTGTGAAAGTTGGGGGACTGGTAGCACATGTTCATGAGGGCTACCGGTAGCATAGTGTGGAGACCCAGCAGAGGCCCGAAAATGAAAAATCCTACAAATTACTGCGACCACTTATTCGTGGTTAAAACGGTTTTTTTATTTTTTTTAAATAATTTTCCCGGAAAGATCACGACCAATTTTTGTTTATTTATTATTTTTTATTTTTTTTACTTCCTTGATTCATTCCGAACTGAAACTAGAGGCCGGGGACCTCACAATTCAACCCGGAGTACTGACAGCATCAGCGAGCTTAGCTTACAGGTTTTACCCTGCGGGAGGCATTCCAATCTGAAAAGATCAGACCTTTCCTTGCATGAACCACAACCAACTTAACTGCCTTTTGCCCAGGTACGTCGAAACCATCGCAACAGCTTCCTGCTGCCTTTTCCAGACCTTGCTTTTCGCCTCCAATCCACCCACGTAACCTTCTTCAGGCCCTGCTTAATATGCCTTTCGATTTCAGCATCTGAGAAGGGCCGTTTTTCAAACCTTGATCTGTTTCTGTCCTTCCATATGGTCTTGCAGATCAGACCACGCAGCACATGAGCGACATACCCCCAACCACGGAGGCCTTTGGTGTGAGGTGGGAGAAAACCCAACAGAGCCCACTTCTCCGACCAATCTACCCCCGAGCCCCCACATTCTCTCCAGTGGTGTTCGTTCCAGATGCGCTTGGGCGCAGGGCATTCCCACAACAGGTGTCTGGTTGATTCAAGTGGCCAGCGACACCTGGTGCATGCAAGGTTCACCACCATCCCCCTGCTTGTCAGCCACACTGCTGAGGTGGAGACCAGTGAGGAGAGCATCCAAAGAAGGCTGACCTGTTTAACGTTCGGAAGGGTTGTCAGGATGTTCCAGTCTCTCAAACTCTGTACCTGCGCTTGAGAGGTCTTCTTCCCATATTGCCTGCCAGCGTGGGTTTGCTATCTGAGCCGGGGTCTTTAAGTGCGTGACTGTTGCTGATAACCTCGGGCCACTAAATAGTCTCCGATCCTCAAAGGTGCTTCCCCTTCGGTTTTTGCAGACCAGCTCCATGCTGCAGGATCTATACATAGCTGGTTGAGGGGAACCCTCCCTACCCAGGTAAAGGTACGGACTGAGGGTTTCCTGCCCTGTATTTCCAACACTCTCGCTTGTGCTGGATTGTTCCAGCTCAGGATCGTGGTCTGTTCCACATGGCGCATTGTATTCTTTGGGCCTTCACATCGCCAGGATGTTCCAGTCTCTCAAACTCTGTACCTGCGCTTGAGAGGTCTTCTTCCCATATTGCCTGCCAGCGTGGGATTGCTATCTGAGCCGGGGTCTTTAAGTTGCGTGACTGTTGCTGATAACCTCGGGCCACTAAATAGTCTCCGATCCTCAAAGGTGCTTCCCCTTCGGTTTTTGCAGACCAGCTCCATGCTGCAGGATCTATACATAGCTGGTTGAGGGGAACCCTCCCTACCCAGGTAAAGGTACGGACTGAGGGTTTCCTGCCCTGTATTTCCAACACTCTCGCTTGTGCTGGATTGTTCCAGCTCAGGATCGTGGTCTGTTCCACATGGCGCATTGTATTCTTTGGGCCTTCACATCGCCAACGTTCCACCCGCCTGAAGCCACTGGGTAGGACCTCCAGCACCCTCCACAACACATTCTGCTCTTTGTCTTGATTCGGTACATACCACTTTCCTTCCTGATCCACTGCCTCGGGGCCCAGGATCCCCAGCCATTCCTGTGGAATGCTTCCTGTGGAATGCTTCCAATAATGTTTCTCCAGTGTTCTTCCACCCTCTGCAACCCTCTCGAGTATTTGCTTCACTTCCACCAGCAGCACCCATCCTCCCAACAGACCAGACCAAAGGTCCGAAATTCAGACAATGCCCCGCTTCACCCAGGCTAAGCCAAAGGAGCCCGTGGAGCCGTCCGCTTTAAAGAACTGACCATTGTGACTTGTTATTTCTGGGTTCTCAAACAGCAGTTGCTTCAGGACTTCCTCCTTTGTACTGGGCGGACTTTGCAGGTCTGGTGGGAGTCTGTTCCATGCCTTCCTTATCGGTTCGCAGAAGTTGGACTTGAGTCTCTTCTTGCGAAAGGAAGGGATAAAGAACTGTGTGTCCGAAATCGGATTTAACGCGGGTTTCGCGTTGAAAAATTCAACGCGCGTTGAATTCGCGTTAAACTCCTATTCAAACGCGAGTTGGACGTGAATTAACGGGGTCCGGGATGACTTTTTTCCTGGGCGAAAAATTATCCAAAAAAAGAAATAAAAAATGGGGTTGTAGGTTTTGTTGAGGACTACAACCCTGTATTTTTATTTTTATTTTTTGATGCTTAAATCTGTTTTTTTTTAAATCAAAAACATAAACATACAATGAAAAAACAAAAACTAAAATGAAATGAGTGTTTTTGTTTTGGGTTTCACACAGATTTTTTAAGGGCTAAAACGGAAAAAAAAAAAAAAAAAAAAAAAAAAAAAAAA